ATCATGTAAGCATCTGGTTATTCTATGCTGCTTTCTTTAATCTTTCATTTAGTGTGAGTCTTCATACGTTCTTTTCTAGATAACAGTAAGCATGAATTATGTTATTGGAACTCATGGATGGCTCCCTTATGACAGAAACATTTCTAATTACTTTACATTCATCAAGGATCAAACTGTGACAAATCCAAAGTAAGTAAATGAATATTTAAAGCAAAATAGCTACAACAAGTACCTTATTGCCACAAAAAACAGCTAGAATAACTGATTTATGTCATTTGAAAGTATATTTTGAAAACCAGATTTTTCTCTTCTTCCTTCCTTCTTTCCCTCCCCTTCTCCCCACTTTTTTTTCTTTCTTTTTTTTTATTTTAGAGACAAGAGTCTTGCTCTGTTGCCTAGGCCTCCCATCTTTACTTTTTAAGTTATGTCCTGACTTTATATTAGCTGGGCACACAGTGGCTGGCGCCTGTAGTCCCTACTACTCAAGGAGGTGGATCACTTGAACCCAGGAGTTCAGGGCTGCAATGAGCTATGATTGTGCCAGTGCACTGCAACCTGGGCGACAGAGCAAGACCCTGCCTATAAAAAATTTAAAAATAAAAATAAATAAATAAGAATTTAGTGTCTACATTTTTTTTTTGAATCTCCAAAAGTTACATTCTAACTTTAGGTAACTTACTCTGAGTTGTCTTAGTATGTTTGCTTATATTTTTTCCTAGTTAAATCACATTCAGTGTTGTTTTCAGGATCAGATTACATCATATATTTGAAAACTATTTAAAATAATTGTTATCATTGTATTTTCTAGTCTTCTTCAACTAGAATAAAACTCCATGAGATTAAGGGCAGTGTCTTTTTTTCCTTCTTATCCCATATAGGACTTAGTGCTGTTGTGTTTTGCATGAATCATATTCTCAGTGAATTCATATTGAATAATAAAGTTTTAGAGCTGAAGTGTCAGATTTAGCCCTCATTTTCTTTTTTCTTTTTCTTTTTTTTTTCTTTTTTTTGGAGGCAGTCTCGCTCTGTTGCCCAGGCTAGAGTGCCATGGTGTCAGCCTAGCTCACAGCAACCTCAAACTCCTGGGCTTAAACAATCCTTCTGCCTCAGCCTCCCAAGTAGCTGGGACTATAGGCATGCGCCACCATGCCTGGCTAATTTTTTTTATA